GCGGAGCTTATACCGGTCCTTACATTGTTCCGTTCGGAGACCACACTTAATTTTCACATATTTTTCACAATTCGTCAGACTACCTCGCCCCGCATCTCACCGGAGCATATATAGGTCGCTACTTTTGTCCGCCGACATTCGCAATGAGACCCCCTTTCACATAGTTCCTGCATCGTCGCCGGAGGCATACGGCCTACTTTTTCCCGCCGTTCCGGAGACGCCTTCTCGCAAAACATGCCAGTTCCGGAGCAGTCATGCGGCTCCTAGATACAAAATAAATTAATGTAAGACCCAAGAACCCAGGGGTGGGGGGGTTCCTGCGGTTGTACCTCTAGGTTTCTGGTTACATTAATGATCTGATAGATGCTTCCCAGCAAACCCTAGTTTTCCCCGCATTTTGATCATGCTGAGCTTAGGACCGAGCCCCCCAATTCCATCTCTCAAGTGCACATACCTACTCTATGCTTGTAAGGCGAAACCCCCGCCCCCCCCCCCCGAACCCCGGACCTTCTGCTAATGAGCGAGCTGCATTGTGCCGACAATGCAGCTGGCCTCCACGTGGCGGATACATGCTTCCTACACTATTGGATATGTCGCTGAAAGAAAATCCGGTATTCCTACGGCGATTTGAGTAAGAACAAGCGGCGAGAGCGCCGAAAGCAATGTTAGGGAGGGGGTGCTAGACGCATGCCCCGGGAAAAATTGTTGAAAAATTTATTTTTTGAATGTTGGCGGGTTCCGGAACCCCCTCTTCGGAATCCCCCCTGTGGGTACGGGACTGGCAGTACGGTTGTTCCATATGTTAAGGCTTAGCTTACTTTACCGCTGAAAGCAGAAATACCACTTTTGGCTGCAGGTGAGACATCTTCTATCAAGCATATCTAGTACTGTTACTTATTTGATCTCAGATATGATGCCTCTGGGCAGGTATGGTAGGTGTAGGTTTATCATACGTATGCGGTCTCCCCAAACAGTTCGTTCAATTTCCGTACGTATGCCTCTGCTGCACGCGGCACCTTGGAACCGTTTCAAAGAAATAAAAATGCGTACGGTAAATAAAGCACAAATGTGTTTTACCACAAAAGCTCCTTAATCGTTTCTCTACCCTCCTTTCCGTCTATTTACTATTATTATTATAATTTCCTGCAAATGACTTCAACATGCTCTCTGCAGAACACAAACAAACAGTCGGTGAGATTGCGTGTTGTGAAGAAAAAACATTTCTGAACGGCGTACTGAAATATTAGTAGATAGACGAACTAGATAAACATTGAGATTTTATAGTAAGACATTCGCGTGTTTATTTACCAGCTCATTTTATTCTTTGAAACATTAATCACAAGTGCCTGCTAGGCTCTCTGGCCCGTGGCAATGCCTCGCCCTGCTTTCTGAATACACAACTCCACTAGTGACGGTCATTAAGCACGCGACCATACAACAACAGTGCATTTGCAAGTACTCTGGACAGTCATCTGCTCGTACTTTTGATATTCTTTAACCTCGTGTCTTCTGAAAGTCTTGAACCGTTCCATTCGCAAAAACCAACTCTAAACCTGAAGCAATATAGCTAATCCAATGTTTCAAGTGTTCCATAACTAAGATAAATACGCGTCCACACCAAAGAAACGGCCCTATACGATCTTAATATACAGTAGAATAACCCGCGAGTAAGAACATCAGATTTTTCCGAAGTCAGCCTCACAGGCTGTTCTTTATATTGTGCCCTGCTAGCATTAGGACTCGAGGAGGTTCTTAAATACACGTTTTAATTGTTTTAAACTTTTAATTACATGCTACTGTGTCCCCGCCGCCCTCGAGCTCTTAGAAACTCGCCCCCCG